TTTAGCTACAAGTCGACACAATGGGTGCGTTCTTTTATTCACAAAAAACGCAGCCCGTTGCACCCGATGCATAATTTAGCCGTTCTTTATATCTAGTCACGCACAGAAACTACGGGCTGAGTTAATCTTGACAATTCTTTAATTCAAATTGCAAGCAGAACTGTTCAATTTGTTTACATTCTTTAGCATCCCAATACAAATTAAAGATGTCAATATCGCGCGAAAAAATCGAATATGAATATTTTCGATAATTTTGAAAATATTCATATCAAATATGAATAAATACTGTAAATATCGAGCAAATATTGAATATTGTTACAAAGACCATAAACATTTCAATATACTACTGCTATTTTACAATATTTTGTAAATATCTTTATGAAAAAAGTGATGAAGTTCGAAAATAATATTGAAATATTACTGAAGAAATATTATTTTGCATTATTATGCCAGTACTATGTCAGAACTATTTTCGAAATCCAGTTCTAACTTCAGTTCTACTTCTGTTCGTGAGAGTATGAATAAAAACAAATAAAGCGGAGTCTACAATGAGAACTTAAGGCATAAAATTTAAGCTTTAAATTTTTAGCCCTAAGAAATTAATCAATCGTAGTCGTTTATTCCTTTCACATTCGGCTGTGATTGATCAATTTTTTAAGACTTAAAGGCTTAAAGTTTAAAGCTTAAATCTTACGTCTTAAATTCACATTGACCCCGCGTAAAAGAATAAATTTATTTTAATCTTCTCCCTCCTATAGTTGTTTTACAGTAACACATAGCGCTAGTGTACTTCCTACTTAATCTAAGTGTCAAACGTTGTTTACAATACTATCTTACGATTCTAGACAAGATTCTTATTTTTTTAAATTAATTATAGTGGTAGAAACTAATAAATTGTCAGCATTCGTCGTCTCTCCTACTTGAAAAATTGAAATAGCATTTTTACAAGGAACAGTAATAAATCAAGAAACAACTTTTTGTGTTTTACATTACATTATGTTTGGTCACATATGCAAGAAAAACTGCTTCATTAATATGAGAACTCATTAATCTACTTCGTTTGTCGGTAACTATATTATTAAGAACAGATACAACTTTCTCCGAGGCCACTGAAGATCCCATTATTATACAATATTTTAAAGCGACTTCTGTTAATGCAGGAGACAGAGTTACAACTATACCAAAACTTTATGAGATCTTCAGATAATAGATAATCCAGAGTTCAAGTATAATTTTAGTTCTGGTATCATTTCTTTATTAGATATATCTTTGATTGACTCATCTTCAATTTTTCTATGTGCTTGTTCCACATGGAAGTGTGAGCTTCTTCGGTTGACTTGCATGGGCTAGCTTCCAGAATCGGAAAAATACTACCTTTTCGTTTCGCTACGTTTCAGATTTCCTGATTCAGCTGTGTTATGATTTTTGCTTGATGAAGAGGAAAGCACTTGTATGTTTTTTTAAATCTAGGGTTGAGCAATGTTGCAGTTATAAGAAGTTTATTACAGCTGCACTCAGTTTCGGCGCTCGCACGCTATGAGCATTATTTTATCCTCCTTCCACACCTGTTGAGCGATAAAGATAGAAGGCTAATAATTGCTTATAGCACGTGAGCACCCAAACGGAACGCAGCCCATGTATCGCATGTGACATATCGTATTGGGCCTATATTCCGTAACCGTGGTTTCATCGTAACGATACTGATAGTTGTCAGTCGTTATCGTTACCTATTGCTGGGATTCTGTAACTCGTTATTGGAGTTAACGACACTTTCGTTATTGTTGCGCAGCTTTTCTACGGTATACAAAAGCTGTGCAATGACAACGAAAGTGTCGTTAACTCCAAAAACGAGTTACAGAATTGTACCAGTACTAGTTCTAGTATTGGTTGTTGCGTAGCCTTTCTATGATATAAAAAAGCTGCACAATACGTGTAACGTCCGGACTTATTTTGGAACATTAATAATATATTAGTACAGATCGAAGGCTGACTTGTCTGATTTCAGACATCACTAAGTTAGATATTCACTAGGTATAGATATTTTATCCCTATGTTACTAGACGTAAGTACGTGCCCATATGTATATTCGTGCACGTTAAATATTATAATTAAAATTATAACGCCGAAGAAACGACGTGTCGTTAAAGAGTCTTAAAATCGATGGATCAACTATAGACAAGAGAAACCGTAATCTCAATGCAATAAGGCACCCCGTTGCTAACATAAACAGGAGCATGAAAACTTAATCCAAATACCACTCAGGACCGACACGGCGATATCGACGCGATGACATCATACCGATGGAATGAATTTCTTCCATCTCCACAACTCCATCAGCCAACCAGAAGACGACTCTCAGCGACAAAACGACATATAAAAACGTGCTCATTTATTGAGAAGGCGATTTTTCTTTTCTCGTAACTAGCCTTTGGTACTTGTGTACTTATATACTTTGGAATATATTAGTTGTAAAATCCGACTGTGTAGCAATTATTTTTGTCTACCCCTCATTTCTCGAACGTTGCGAAATTGAAATTGGAACCGCGGACAGCATCATCCCGCGCAGCGCCGGAACATCCGAGACCGAGCCAGGAGAACGAACGGCTCTGATTTCTCACTAGATTCATCGATCGTTTCGCCAGACTCCGGAGACCCAGGGTAAACTCGATGAAAAGCAGAGTGACTTAAAAGCGGAGTCATCATTCTGTTGACCGTCCACGTAAGTCACTAATTTTACTACTTTCAAATTTCGCTATATAGTTATCTATCGTGGACGTAACAAACGACATAACGCTAACGACACCTATGGTTACGTTCTTTCAATAACACTGAAGAGTTAATAATAAGGTCCAATTTCGAACATATGACGATCCGATAGCTAATAGGAAAATGTATTTTTTAGGAACATTATTGTTCCTAGCTAGTAACTTTAAAAAGTGAATTGATGCAACCACGAGATGCATTCAACTACATATGTTGCAAATAAATGAACGCATCCATTGTAACACTTAGCCTGTTCTTTTTAGCTGAACTGCTGAACTGATGCAATAAGTTGAAGTGAGAAAACATATATTTGTCTCGCTTTAAATTATTGCACTAGTTCAACGGTGCAGCTAAAAAGAACAAGCCAACTGTATTACACAGTTTACGACTGTGTTCTATTGCTGGAAAGCATCCATGATCAATCGAGTTTCACCTCAATGGTTATGTTCCAAAATTCACTGTAAGCGCTGAAAATCTATAACTCATGTTATGTATACTATAGATTTTTGGCACTAGCAGTGAATATTGGGATGCAGCCCTTATGCTACTGTTACGTCCACGATAGATAACTATATAGCGAAATTTGAAAGTAGTAAAATTAGTGACTTACGTGGACGGTCAACAGAATGATGACTCCGCTTTTAAGTCACTCTGCTTTTCATCGAGTTTACCCTGGGTCTCCGGAGTCTGGCGAAACGATCGATGAATCTAGTGAGAAATCAGAGCCGTTCGTTCTCCTGGCTCGGTCTCGGATGTTCCGGCGCTGCGCGGGATGATGCTGTCCGCGGTTCCAATTTCAATTTCGCAACGTTCGAGAAATGAGGGGTAGACAAAAATAATTGCTACACAGTCGGATTTTACAACTAATATATTCCAAAGTATATAAGTACACAAGTACCAAAGGCTAGTTACGAGAAAAGAAAAATCGCCTTCTCAATAAATGAGCACGTTTTTATATGTCGTTTTGTCGCTGAGAGTCGTCTTCTGGTTGGCTGATGGAGTTGTGGAGATGGAAGAAATTCATTCCATCAGTATGATGTCATCGCGTCGATATCGCCGTGTCGGTCCTGAGTGGTATTTGGATTAAGTTTTCATGCTCCTGTTTATGTTAGCAACGGGGTGCCTTATTGCATTGAGATTACGGTTTCTCTTGTCTATAGTTGATCCATCGATTTTAAGACTCTTTAACGACACGTCGTTTCTTCGGCGTTATAATTTTAATTATAATATTTAACGTGCACGAATATACATATGGGCACGTACTTACGTCTAGTAACATAGGGATAAAATATCTATACCTGGTGAATACCTAACCTAGTGATATCTGAAATCAGGCAAGTCGGCCTCCGATCTGTACTAATATATTATTAATGTTCCAAAATAAGTCCGGACGTTACACTACTATTTACGACGTTATTGATAGAACTAGATGCTATCGCAATATACTGGAACTCGATTCTTGAATCATTCATAACTAATCGTATACATAACTTACGAGTAATATCCAATAAAAGTACAGCTATTCTGTAAAAGCAATACGCTCATTGGATATTACTCGCAATTTATGTATACGAATTGTTACGAATAATTCAAGAATCGAGCTCCTACATACCAAGTGTCGGTCCATAATAGGTATTTTAAGTCTTAAGTTTTAAGAAATTGACTAATTACAGTTAATTATTCTCTTTATATTCGACTGTGATTGATAAATTTCTTAAGTCTTAAGGCTTAAAATATTTATTATGGACCAATACTAATGGTTCTCGCAGCCAGCGCGATGCGCGACGCGATATGCGATACGTAATGTCCAATGAGCGTGTAGCTCTTCTGGAAAACATACGCTCATTGGATATCGTGCGTCGCGTGTCATATCGCATCGCGTATCGCGCCGGTCTACGAGAGCCATAATAATAGGTCTGTTCCTTTTCGTTGTACCGCTGAATTAGTTCTATAAGTTGAAACGAGACAAGTATATATTTTTTCACTTCAACTTATTGCACTAGTTCAGCGGTGCAGTGAAAACGAACAGACCTAATGGCTTCTGCCTAAGTTGCAGCAATACTTGCCGCGCAGCGGAAGTTCGCGCGGTAGCTAATAAATTTCTAGTTTTTGCCGAGAAACGGCGTGTTGATTGGCTACCGTGCGAATTTTCGCCGCGCGGCGAACATTGCTGCATCTTGTGGGCAGAAGCCATAATGGAACAATTTTTCAGTACTGCCAGCACTGGCAATGTATGTTGGAACACATCTCTAATCTCAAACTCAGAATACTTCACAATTGCAAAATAAACGTTTTATTGAACGTGGCCATTGCTGTATCCGCGGTAGTTGAGAAGTAACGATACGCTCACCAATGTGTGCGGCTGTGCAATTCGCTTGTCAATTCATGTTTAAAGTGTCATTTAAAAAAAGGGCGCAGCGAGCATAGCACACGAGATTCCCACATTAGCGGAGGATCTACCATTTCGTTAGATCATCAACCGCCGTAGCTGCAAACCATCGTCGGTTTCTGCTGTATCTGGGCCCTTTGACAGTTGTCAATCGTACATCCGTCCGTGCTCTGCCATGAACAAAGCGACTCGCGCAGCGTCTCGTCGCGTCGGGAACGAAGTTGGAAACATAGCTAAAGGTAATCGCGCGCCTCATGCCAACATTTTCACTCAGCATTTCGAACCGGTCGTGTCGAGGTTATGTTTTGAACGGATTCTCTCACTTCTTCTCTCCCTTCATTTTGAACGCTATCGATATAGACGCTCCTTAGATACGCCTATCATCGCTTTACTTCGCAACGCGACGCGTTGATCAATTATTATGTGTCGATTTTGTAATTAGTCGAACGCGAGACGATCGTAACCAGAGAATGATGCCCGTTGAATTTCGAATCCTCGCGGCGACGGCAAATCGTTAATCCATAATGATTTGTGATCTTCACGACTCTGGCTAGTAGACCCCGAACTAATATGGAACTAATGTAAAGTACAAGATAGTCGAGGTTATTTGTCGTATGGCAAGAAACATTGTATTACGTTATTTTCGTCCGTGATTTTCATAGACTCCTAACGTTTCTATTGCATCCTTACCTTGTTTACGTTATGTATAATTTTGCCTTATAAAAGTTTATTGTCCGAGATTGTATGAGTGACGGACATTCGCATTTTCCGTGTCTCGTCATAATTATTATTCGACTTTCAGTATATATTTCTAATAATTAAATTCATATTTTGAACTTTCTTTTATCGATAAAAGAGGCTTAAATGTGGCTTTTCAGCCAATCAAATGGTTCCTAAGCCACTTTTAAAGGTATTTTCATTGATGAGAGTTCAAAATATGGGCTACAGTTTCAAGTAAAAAATTTTTTGGATTGTTATATACATACTGACTGTTCGTAGATCTAATTTAATTTTGTATCAATATTAGTCTATGATACATTATGTAATTTTCATTTTATAATAGCAATATTGTGTTCTAGTTTTTAATATTGCATGTGTAAAGATTATTTTATAATAATGTGTCTTGTATTTTGCTTTGTAAGAAAATTGAAAATTAAAATTAAAAGTTAATTATTCTTAATACATATAGTAAGCCAGAGACTTGGTGCAAACAAAGATATAATTTTACAAAGTAATACAACAGTGAAGAATCAGAAGAAACTTGATACTGTCAAAAGATTATCCAACAAATATCTTTTCAAAACACAATCTGCATCAGAAACATGTAAATCTCTTATAGACAAAGCATATACTTGTAGACAAGTAAGTATATATTATAAATAATAATGTATGCATATAGAGCTGTTTATACATGTAATATGTCAGTTATAAGTCAGTATATAAATGTACACATAGTAGAAATCATTGCAGCATTATTTTATTTGCTACAGGTTTCAAATACAGCTGTTATGAAAGAAAAAAGTTCTGCGACACCTAGGCATTACTTCTTTGGAAATGCACGAATTCCAAAATGCATTCAAACAAATAATAAAAGTATCTCTGATATAGAAGAATTCAAAACTGATGGTATTTATTGTGAACATGCATCTTAATCTGACAAATATTTTTTTCTATTTTTATTTTAGATTATGTAACATAAAGACTGATTTATATTTAGATAACATAGAAACTTTAATTTCAGAAACACCAGTGGCAGTTCCAAATCATGGACCATCTACGCCACATAGAATTAATATGCCGTTGGTGTTAGATGATGAAGAAGCTATGATCATGACTAAGGAAAAGCAACCTATGATGGTAACATTGCGTAGCCCATTGCAGGTTATAAAAAAGCCTGCTTTGCGTGGCCGTAAGAAGGGAGTCGCTAATCAGTTACCGAATCATTTACCAAAACCAGTAAGTGTTGATAGTAAAAATCATTCGATTACTGATTACTTTCCGGTGCGTCGCAGCGTCAGGAAGTGTAAGAAAGCTGTATTAGAAGAGAAACAGCGCGATATAGAGAATAAAGTAGTCTGTCAGGTGGAAGAAGGTTTAGAGGTAAGACGACAAACGATCCGAGGTTATAGAAACGTTAGTTTACATTTCTATTAGGTAGCTTCATTAAATATAAATTAATTGTGGTCATTTCTCTTCAGGTCAGACACTTCGCAGGTAAAGGTCGTGGTGTTATAACTACGCGAGAATTCTCCAAAGGCGAGTATGTGGTAGAATATATCGGCGAGTTAATTAGTCAAGCAGAGGCGAAGTTACGTGAAGAAGAGTATGCACAAGACCAGAACACCGGATGTTACATGTATTACTTTCAACACCGTAATCAACAGTATTGGTATGGAAATTCTGATGTATTAATGATCATGTTTTCTAAAACTTCTAAAACTTTCAGTTCTAATAGCTTTCTCAGTGTTAGAAATATTATTCGTGGTTAACATGTTCATTGCCAATCACGCGATATTGCGTGATGCGAGTTCTCACCAAACGGCCGATCACGCATTATCGCGTAATAGATATTTAGAGTACATAAATCCTATGTTCATAATAATAAAAGCGTATAAATAATATATTAATTTATTTTGAGCACAATAAAAACTAAATAAAAAAAAAATTTTGGCCACCACACGAAATTCCAATTTTCAGCTTGGCAATGAACGTGTTAAGATTGAAATGATGCAAGATAGAGAAAATCTGAAATGTTGGTATTTTTTCAGCGTCGATGCGACAGCGGAGACGGACAAACTGGGTAGATTAGTCAATCACTCAAGAAACGGCAACTTAATCGCACGGATTATCGAAGTCGGCTCCATACCGCACTTGGTACTCACAGCGAAGGAAGATATACCGATCGGCGTCGAGGTCACGTACGATTACGGAGATCGAAGTCGCGAATCTATTCGTCATTATCCATGGCTAGCGTTATAGCATATTTTCAATTCATTATTTACATGACATTGCTGTACATTGTACATAAAAAATTCACTCCCGTTCCTCCTATGAAGGGACGTAGCGTGTTCTCTCTATTATATAGAAATTTGTCTTCTAAGTGAAGTGGAGGCAAATGATTGCACAAACTTCTACACTAAAGAATGGAAATGCTATGTGTTTTATATATTTCCGTAATAGAAATAATTCTAATTACTTTACGAGGAGCTGATGAGGGAATTGGGATTAATTCTGACGGAGTGTTTAAAAATTAATTTATTTGATTAATTGTAAATTTGTGTATACCGAATTGTTGTGTATACCGTGCTTGTATCGTAAGCAAAATTTTTATATTAAGATGAATAGCTTTCTCAGTGTCACACGACATTGTATTAGGATCATCTATAACGGTATTTAATTAATTTTTCCTGTCAATGGGTTTTGTTTTGTGCTGCAGTTACATTCTTAACATGATACAGTATTACCGCTTGAATTGGAACTTTTAGAGCTAATATTTGAATCATATAATTTGTAATAATTGTAATGAAATAGTAAAAATTGTATCATTTAGGGCTGATTTTCACCAAACTCCAATTAAGCTAATCGACGATTTCAAATTGTTGTCAGTCAAATGTTGCTCTATCTTGCTAATACAACCAGAGATAATTAACTTTTCGATTATTATATTGAAAGAGACGAGTTATAAAACTGAAAATTAGTACTGGCAATTATTATTATTTATCGATTAGCTTAATCAGAATTTGGTGAAAGTTACCCTTAGTCCAATAATGACTAAGTTTGAATTTCCATGTGTTATACCAAGAATTTATAATCAAAGCGTTTGTGATGCGTACTGATATAACTACGAATATAATATATGTCTTTAAAAATAAGGTATAAATGTGTAGGGTAGGTGTAATCGGTGTGATTATCAGATAAAACAAAGATTTTCCATTGAAGTATTTGCATAATGTATGTACGTTAGCTTTGAATTTTTTTATTTCTTCACTGCCACGCGAATATCGATTGGATGTGGGATTGCATGAATCTCGAGAAACAAATTGTATAATGTACGTGCGTGCGTGCATGCGTGCGTGAGCGCGCACGCGCGCGTATGTATGTATGACATGTACGAATGGTATTTTCCCGATTGTTTATATTTGTCTCCCGCTATAAAATAACAACTAAGCTGCAGACAAGTATTGTATCGTCTTTATATTTATTTTTCTTAATAACTATTTATAGCATTAATACACATTATTATTATTATTTAACATTAATTATTCATATATTTCAACACATTGCCATTAATTCAAACGCTGCCACTTGTAAGCCTACTTCTTCTAAGGATGTATGATATATCAAGTATAACCACGATTTTTCCCATTCCTATTTTAAACTTTTACTTTAAATATAGAGGTTTAAGATGACGAAAAAATGCAGTATTTATGCTGTAGATAAATTATTTGTTAACCATGTTTATGTACTTTTACTACACCTGAGATTTTTGTTTTTTGCACATATATATGATATGAAATAGAGATCATTTAGAACTCTTCGTTTAAATAGAATTACATATATTTTCCGAGGTTCACTATTATAGTAACTTTTAGCATATGTCAATTTTTTTGTGAATGATGATTATATTGGTACAATGACGTTGTTGCAGTCAAGATCTGATTTTTGTTCTATAAAAAAAAATATATATACAAGGTGGGCCATTTTAATCGACCCAGTCGAATATTTCGAAAACCAAGCCCGGGAGAGAAAAATTTTTCAGACAAAAGTTGTTTGGTTTCGAGGGGACCATAAGACGGTACCATTGACCTTGAAGAATTATTTGAAAGTCACATAAAGGTCACCTCAATTTTTTAAAATGGCATCCTCTATTTTTTATTACACATTCTTGTTGCTGACCTCGAGAGCTTTCCAAAACACTATAATGAAATGTTTCTTCATTAAGTACTTTAGCTACAAGAGTGTGTAATAAAAAATAGAGGATGCCATTTAAAAAAATTGAGGTGACCTTCATGTGACTTTCAAATAATTCTTCAAGGTCAAACCAATGGTACCGTCTTATGGTCCCCTCGAAACCAAAAAACTTTTGTCTGAAAAATTTTTCTCTCCCGGGCTTGGTTTTCGAAATATTCGACTGGGTCGATTAAAATGGCCCACCTTGTATATATATTTTTTTTTATAGAACAAAAATCAGATCTTGACTGCAACAACGTCATTGTACCAATATAATCATCATTCACAAAAAANATATAGTGCGATTGTAAACAATTTTGTTATTATATGAGAAAAGATTATATAAAAAAGACTTGCAATAAATTGATCTAATATTTCCTTTATTGTAATTTTAATCTTGTTTTACAAAAACGACTGCAAAATAAAAAAAAATTAATTATCAAATATAATATAAACTGTCATACACATACACACACATATATGTATGTGTGTATATATATATATATACACTCCTAAAAAAAAGCGATACACTAAAAATGTGGAAAAAAATTCACAAATTTCAAATGACAAAAACTTCGTCAATAATGAAGATAAAAATCTTTTTCTCAAGAAAGGAAATGAAGCTTGGAATCTCTACTTTAAGATACATTTATGTCAATTCTGCGAGATAAATTTATTAAAAATGGCGGATGACAAAGCGAGAGCATATGTAATTGGAGATGAATAGGTCCTACTTTGCGACGGTGCACGGCTCAAATAAAAATTTTCAACTTAATTTGAAAAAAGGGATATGAAGATACAGAATTTTCTCTTTAAACTGCTTTTTTATGCATCTCGGTACCACCATTTTTTGCAGAGTTATTCGCATTTGAAGTACAAAACTGCTTTTCTTTTTTTCAAATAGGAGTATTTCGGCGAAAAATCATCATATCGAAATGAATGAAAAAACATTCTAAAGTGGAAACTCTGTACTTTTACATGTTTTTTATCCCATTGAGTTGCGGCATTTGACTCTCGCCATGTGTTATTACAAACTCGATTATTATTTTTCTATTTTACATGCTCTCGTTTTATTATCTACCATTTTGGAAGAAAAACTATGGTCCATTATTGCATTGTGAATTTTCGAAAGCTAAAAGTCCGAATCTTTAAAATGATTTGTTTTTAATCCTATTAGCTGTGTTAGGTGCCGAGATATTTGATTTTGAATTTTAAATCAGGCCGAATTATAAAAATAAGAATTCCGTGGTTCGTCAGCTCCGTAATATTTTAAGACTCCAAATTTCCTTGCGGTTATGAGTCTCGATCTTGCTCTGGGCGTTACCCAGGATCAACGACATGTACGTAGCAAAAATTTGATCCTGTATGCATGTGCGTAAATGTGCACGCGCGCGTGTGTGTGTGTGTGTTTAGTAGTGTGTCTGACCATCTTTTGCACGAATTACGTCCTCCATGCGGCAAGGCATACTTCTTATGAGTATCCGAATGTTATTCTGTATAATGTTATCCCGAGAGCGAACGTGGCATGGCAGACAGCACACTGGTCTTCCATACTAGTGGTCCCGGATTCGATCCCGGCAGGAACCAAAAATATTTACGCTCGTTCTTCTCCCGGAAGGCAATGGCAAACTACCAAGAGAGAGTATCCTTGCCATTGAATGCCTCTCTAAAAATCTTGCTGTTCGGAACCAACGTTAAACTGTAGGTCCCATATGCTTATGTACAATCAGCGTATGCACCACAGGCATTTGAGAGAGGTCACCATGCTTCTGCAAAGAAGTAATAGAACTTTAGAAGAAAAATGTTATCCTATTCTGTTTCAAGAACTGTTCGAAGTTCTTGTAGTGATTGTAGTGCAAGTACATGGATTGCATACTTTTCTACCGAGGTTGTCCCAAAAATTTTCAATCGGATTTAAATCTGGACTTATTGCATTGTAATAAATTTATGCTACTTTCCCTGTAGAAATTCAGTACTCTTCTTGCAACGTGTGGTCTCGCATTATCTTGCATGAATATGAAATCTCCGATAAAGAGCGCATATGGAACAACATACGGTATCAAAATATCTTCTACGTATATATTCTATGTTTATAGCACATTCATATTGTGCTCGAAAACGTGTAAATCTGTATGAGCATTTGCAGATATTCCTGTCCAAACCATGGCAGAGCCCCCGTTGCACCTATATCGTTCACTTACCATGCAATCTGTAAAGCGTTCTCCAATACGATGGTAAACTCGTTCTCGCCCATCTGGAGAGTACAGGCAAAAACGAGACTCGTCACTAAATAAAACGTCCAATCTAAGTACGTCTATATTCGACTGCAAAATTGAGCTACGTGATGACGACACGTAAACGAAGGCACGGCTGTTGGTCTGTGCGCATGCAGTTCGTTTTCCGTCAATCTTCTTCGAACAGTGTATCAGGTGTAGAAGTATGAAACCGGAATTTCCCTATAGATGGCGCTAGCCATCAGTGTTAGGGACCGTAAGACCGCTTCTGTAGCGCCATCATCTCCCTCTAACAGCTGACGAAGATTTTCAACACACAACACCCAAGTTCCATACACCGGTATATTTTTCTATAACCTTAAACATGTCGAGTTTTATGCCTACGAACTACGATTTGCGGACAGCATTGGTTTTTTGTTATCATTTGAAGAAAACTGCTGCNATGTGAAAAGTACATGATCCACGTGTGATTTAGCGCATATAATTTTATTTCTATATTGTACTGTTAGTTATAGAAGTTTGCATTAACGCTGTGATGGAAAATAGAGAAATTCGTATAAATTACTTATATGAGTTCAAACTTGATCATACTGCAGCCGAAGCAACGCGTAACATTTATACCGCATTTGGTGAAGGTACTGTAAGTGAAAGAACGATGAGACGTTGATTTGAAAAATTTCGTTCTGGGGACCAAACCACGACAATTTGTCTCGCGAACACACATCTTCCGTCATTGATGACGTTGTTTTGAAGGAGATGGTTAAAACAGATCTAAGGTTAACAGTCTGAAAGATTGTCAAAAAATTCGAAGTTGATCATTCAACTGCCGTCCGATATACAAATTGGGAAAAGTGAAAAAGTTGGATAAATGGGTCTCCCATGAAATCATAGAAAGAGACAAATTGAAACGTTTGGAGATATGCATTTCTTTGCGGTTGCGACAGAATACAGATGGAATTTTACACAGGATTGTGACTTGTGATAAAAAATGGATTTTGTACAACCACCGACGTTTTGCGTAGTGGTTAGATGCGAATGAGGCTCCAAAATACATTCCAAAATCGAATCTTCACCCCAAGAAAATGATGGTGTCTATATGGTGGTCTAGCAAAGGTATCGTTCATTATTCATTTACCAAACAAGGTGAGGTTATAAAGTCTGATAAGTACTGTCAGGAAATTGCCACCATGCACCAAAAACTGTGCACTCAACAATATTGGTCAGCAGACACGGCATGTTGCTGTTGTACGATAACGCTAAATCACACATTGCAAAACAAACCGTTCAAAAACTCGCCGAGTGAACATTGAAGTTCTCCTTCACCCTCTCTATTCTCTAGACATCTCACCAACAGATTATCATCTTTTCAAGCATCTAGATGTGTTTTAGGCGGGCAAAAATTTCAATGAAGAAAGAAGTGTGAAAAATGCATTTAAAGAGTTTATCGATTCATGCTCTCTAGATTTTTTTAGAAAGTGCATTGAAGCATTTGGATCACGTTAGCAGAAATGTATTGAAGTAGGTGGAAGCTATTTTGATTAGTTATGTAAGTTTTAAATTTGTAAAATACAAGTTTCAACTTTATATTTATAAACGGCCATTTCATTTGCACCAACCTAATATAAAGTCATCCTTAAACCCATATGAACATATAGTATGCAACTATGGGGAAATGCAAGTAATTTATGTGGAGTTGGCTTTATCGATTGATGAGAGAAGATGGGCATCGGGAGATGGCGGTGGTATCGCGAGGAGCATTGGTATCGGCAGGAACATTGGTAGCGCGGGGGTAGCGCGTAGGAGAGGGCAGAGAGTCGGAGGAGACAAGAGAGCAACACACGAGGCTAGCGAAAAATTCATTGTCGAGAGAGAGAGAGAGAGAGCCGCTTGTATCCATACCATAATAAACAGATATTTATTTCAACCGAACAACAAGGTATAGACTATCCTGCTTTAATTCCTTAACTGAGCCATATCCACTCTCAAATTGGTAGCAGAGCGTGGTTGAGCTCATTTTTTCTAAGCGACGATCGAGACGACAGATACAAGCGGATTGAGACGAAGAAGCCATTTTTTCCCAAGATGGCCGAGAACTGGAATCTCTCAAGCGTAGAGCCACTGGACGATACCAACTATTTTTTATGGAGTGAAAAAATAGAAGGTATACGAGGTCTGTTCAAAAAGTATCGCGAATTTTGTGTTTTTTCAAAAATTATTTATTTATTCATGAATATCTATTTTGTCTCCTTCAAAGTAATCTCCATAAGATATTATATACTTGTGCCAACGTTTTTTCCAATCCTCGAAGCACTTCAAAAAATCATTTTTTGTGATCTTGTTTAGCTCCTCCTTCGATGCCGTCTTTATCTCCTCAATCGTACCGTAGCGTCGTCCTTTCATGTGCCTCTTCAGTTTCGGGAAGAAGAAAAAGTCACAGGGGGCCAGGTCTGGGGAATACGGTGGCCGCGGCATCACTAGTGTGTTGTTTTTGGCCAAAAATTCGCGCACAAGCAACGATGTATGAGCAGGGGCGTTATCATGGTGCAAAAGCCAATTTTTGTTCTTCCATAAATCCGGACGTTTCTGGCGGATTGCTTCACGCAAATTGCGCATAACTTGCAGGTAATATTCCTTATTGACCGTTGGCATACCCTGCCTACCCTGTGGCAAGAACTCATGATGCACCAGACCCCTGCAATCGAAGAAAACTGTAAGCAAAACCTTCACATTCGACCGAACTTGGCGCGCTTTTTTCGGTCTTGGCTCGTGCGGCAGCTTCCATTGGGATGATTGAACTTTCGTTTCCACGTCATAACCATAAACCTATGATTCGTCACCAGTTATGACCCTCTGCAAATTTGGGTCGTCGCGGACAGAGTCCAACAGCTCTCCAGCAATGTTAATGCGATGCTGTTTTTGGTCGAAATTGAGCAATTTTGGTACGAATTTCCAAAGTCTCATGCCCAAATCATTAGTAAAAATCGAATGGCACGAGCCAATCGATATGTTTAAGTCCTCAGCAACTTCTCTAACGGTGATTCGACGATTGGCCAATACTATTTTCTTCACTTCATCAATGTTTTCGTCTGTTGTTGACGTGCTCGGGCGTCCGGCACGCTCTTCGTCGTTCACATTTTCTCGGCCCTCTGAGAACATTTTATACCACCGATAAATATTGCTTCGGTCCAAGGTAGCTTCACCATATGCCACAGTCAACATTCGGAATGCGTCCGCGCACTTAATTTTGTTAGATTCTTTGATCCATTTTTTGGAATAGGCAAAAATCGAAGACGAGCCAAAACACTTCCAAGCAAAACAGCTGTCAAAGATAAACTGAATATTCAAAATGGCCGAACTTGTCGGCATAAGTGAGAGACATGAGTACCAACATAAAAAAATCGAAAATCGAATATATGTAACCCGCGGAAATTCAAAATTCGCGATACTTTTTGAACAGACCTCGTATTAAGAACCAAGAAGCTTTGGAAGAAAGCGATAGGTACAAAACCGCTCGAAAAACCTGAAGAAGACGATGCGTACTCGCTGCTAAATTTAAAGTGTGGAATGAGTGGGATGATAACAATTATGCTGCAAGAACAGTGATAATCAACGCTATGAGCAAGGCACAATTATTAAAATATAGCCACGAGAAGAACGCAGATAAATTGTGGAGTTTAATTAAAAATAATATGGCAGCTGAGACGGAACAGTTAAGAGCCAGATTACTGGGTGAGTTAACAAACCTACGGATGAATAAAGAGGAAAGTGTAGATGCATTTGTGAACAGAGCTGAAGCTTTGAAAAATCAATGTGTGCAGCTAGATAAAAACATAGAAGATTATGAGCTGAGAATGTATATAATTAGAGGTCTAAGAGCGGAATTTGATAAAAATGTAGGTGTTTTGGAAATTCAAAAAGAACTGACTGTGAACGACATCCGATATGCATTAAAGCAAAAGGAGATGCGAAAGAGTAAGCGGAAAGAAGAAAAGAGAGACAGTGAGCACGTGAAAAAGGCAAGAGAGAAATCGAGGCTTGACTGATTTGCTGTTACAATTGTGGTACAAGAGGCCATACATCGAGCGAGTGCCGTAACAAACAAAAATGCTTCAATTGCCAAGGATTTAATCACAGACTGTAAGGAACCGAAGAGAAGCGTTCAGCGTGGAAGAAGATATAAAGGATCTACTCGAGGAAAAGGATCTGGACGAGGACGCGAAGTTACATTAAAAACTACAGATGAGGCTGTAATGACGGTAAGAGACACAACACAAACCGTCAAGGAGGAGAAACAGGTAAAGTCGAAAAATTGTTTATGGCTACTAGACTCGGGGGCGACGAGTCACATGGTGAATGATGAGGCTATGTTTGATAGATCGAGGAGGATGAGAGGAATATTTCGTTAGCCGATAAAGAAGGTAAAAAATTAACCTCTAGTGGAAAAGGAGAGATAGTAATAAAGCAGTCATCAAATGAAGATAGAATACGACTTAAGAATGTATTATGTGTCCCAGGCATTAATGTGAATTTAATGTCAATTGCAAAGATCACTGATTATGGTTTCGTTGTGAAATTCGATAAGCATGGAGCTGTTGTTTATAGGCATGGAGGTGAAATTAAAATGAAAGCCGTAAGAGAAGAAAATGCCTATTATGTGAAGTCTTCGTGGATAAACACCAGAGCGGCGGCAGCGATGAAAGATCTAGATGTCTGGCACAAACGATTAGGACATACAAATAAGAAGATAATTGGAGATATGATGAAGGAAGAACTAGTGATTGAAATGAAAGAGAGCGATGTTGAGAAGAGACAGTGTGAACCGTACGTAGAGGGAAAGATGTGCAAGATAACGCACCCGAGACTAGAAGGGAGAAAAACGAGAAAGATAATGGATCTCTGGCATATAGACTTAATTAGGCCGATAAAACCTTTATCACGTGGAGGTAAGAGATATATTTTCACGATAATTGATTATTATTCGAAAGTGATTTTTGTAGAACTACTGAAGGAAAAGGGAGACGCAGCGGATCAATTGAAGAAATTGATGTTACTGAAGGAAAATCAAACTGGACAAAAATTAAAAGCTTTGAGATCGGATAACGGAGGTGAATTTGTTGGAACCGACTTAGAAGAATGGTTAATGGAGAAGTCAAACATGAATTCAGTCCGCCAAGAACTCCTCAATGCAATGGAGTGGTGGAAAAAGAGAATCGCTCGATAATAGAGATGACGAGGGCGATGATGTCAGATTCCAAGATGCCGCATGATTTTTGGGCCGAGGCAGTATGCACAGCAGTACACATCAAAAACAGAATCAAATCAACGGTACACGGAAGGACCCCTTTCGAAGTATGGAATGGCAGAAAACCGAACGTGAAGTATTTAAGAAGATTTTGGTATGTAGCGTACTTGCTGGACAAAGAAGGAAAAAGAAAGAAATTTGACTCAAAAACTACTAAAGGGATATTTGTGGGATATGCAGCCAACCACACATATCGAATATTCGTACCAACAACCGGAAGAATAAAAACGGATTGGGATGTAAAATTTGACGAATGCAGAAGAGGATATGGAATACTGAATGAAGAAGAAAAGGGAAATCAAATGAATTGTGAAAAATTAATAATCGGTGGACTCGATGCCGAAGATGAGACTAACGAGATACAACAGGAGGAAATTGAAGAAGATGTGGAAGATGGAAGAACGGAGACTGGAAGCACTGAATATGGAGATGCTGAAACAGAAGAATTTGATCAAAAAATACAACATGAGAATGAAGATGATCCAAAAGAAGATGAAAATATTGAAGATGTTCAAGTACAACCCACAAATGTGAGAAGCAGGGGAAGGCCGAAAGGGACTACGAAGGCAATAATAGAAGTTCGAAAACGAATATTAGAAGAAGAAAGAAGACAAGAACGGGAGAACGTTAGAAGATTAGAAAGGATCAAGGGTCAACAGAAAGCAAATGCTCGTCGTGGATGAAGAAATACCGAAAACTGTGGAAGAAGCCAAAAAACTGATTAATTGGAGACACTGGAAACAGGCTATGGTAGACGAATTGGCCTCAATGATGAAGCATGATATGTGGAATCTTATGCCACGGCCAAGGGACAGGAAAGTGATCAAGAGCAAGTGGATATTTGATATTAAAGAAGATGGTACAGAACAGCGGCGATATAAAGCGCGATTAGTTGCGTTGGGTTGTGGACAACAACCCGGTTTGGATTATGGAGAAACGTTTGCTCCTATGGTGCGGACGGAAACGATTAGGTTATTAATTAGTATTGGAGCGCAAGAAAGGAAAAAAATTAAGAACTATGATGTCAAAACGGCTTTCTTGCATGAATCGCTAGAAGAGGACATTTTTATGGAATTGCCCGACGGATTTCAAGATGCTCAGGATCAAGTATGCAAATTGAAGAAAAGCATATATGGACTTAAACAAGCTGGAAGATGTTGGAACGATCATTTAACAAAAATTATGACGAAAAGTAGATTAAGACAATCAAAAGAAGATCCCTGCCTATTCTATGAAAAGAAGAAAAACAGATTTATGTATTGCGGAATACACGTGGATGACATGCTAGTTGTGTCCAGTGATGATGACTTTGAGAAGATCTATATGGATAGGATCAAACGACATATAGACATCAAAGATCTTGGAGAGGCAACAACGATGTTAGGGATGCAGATAGTTCAGGAAGAAGAAGGAATATTTGTGCATCAAAAGAAGTGCATTGAAAAACTGTTAACTCAATATGGCATGGAAAATTGCAATCCTGTTACATCACCGATTGATATTAATATGAAGATGGATGAATACGATGAGAGTAATATAACGGATATCAAGGCCTATCAAAAATTGTTGGGACAGTTGATGTATATAAGCGTCTATACGAGACCGGACTTGTCTTTTACGTTGAGTTATTTATCTCAATTTAGTAGTGAGCCAAGAGTGATGCACATGACCTCGCTGGAACGGATTCTGCGTTATTTAAAGGGGACAATGGATTATTGTCTGGAATATGGAAAGAGAAGTCCAAATCAAATGGTTGAGTGTGAAACTGATGCGTCGTGGGATTGGACTAAAGACGCGAAGTCTTTCTCTGGACTGCTATTATATTGGAATGGAGACCTGATTCATTGGAGGAGCAGAAAACAATCAACAGTTGCACTGTCCACGACTGAGAGCGAAATGGGAGCTATGTTAGAAGGACTGAAGGAGATGGTATGGGCATGCAATCTGTTACAAGAGATTAAATCAACAAAAATGATATCTAAGGAGTTAAGATGCGACAATTTGAATGCAGTAAGGCTGGCTAATGGAGGTAGCTACAAGGCCAAGTCCAAATTGCTGAACCGGAAATGTCATTACATTCAGGAAGTGATGAAGGAAGAAAGTATCCAAGTTATGCATGTGTCAAACGAAGACATGACAGCTGATTGCCTGACGAAGCCACTGAGCGGACCTACTCTCCTGAACAATGTCTTAAAGTTCATGGATGCTGGAGGCCGATAAACCCAAGGGGGCGGATTGTGGAGTTAGCTTTATCGACTAATAAGAGAAGATGGGCATCGGGAGATGGCAGTGGTATCGCGAGGAGCATTGGTATCGGCAGGAACATTGGTAGCGCAGGGGTCGCGCGTGGGAGAGGACAGAGAGTCGGAAGAGACAAGAGAGCAACACACGAGGCTAGCGAAAAATTCATTGTCGAGAGAGAGAGAGAGAGAGCCGCTTGTATCCATACCATAATAAACAGATATTTATTTCAACCGAACAACAAAGTACGAGTATAGACTATCCTGCTTTAATTCCTTAACTGAGCCATATCCACTCTCAATTTAAACATCGGCATATTGAAAAGATTTCAAGCAAAAACCCTTAGGACTCTATTTAACATTCCATGATACATTAATAATCACTTCTTATATCATGATCTCCGTATTCCGTTAATAAAGGAAAAAATCCAGTCTCACAGTATGCGATATCAAAAATGCCTAAGTCAACATCCTAACGCTTTGGTGAGTGATTTAGTAACTGAAGGCCAAAAATTTCATCGAATTAAAAAACAAAATATATTAGATCTCCATAAAAGATTCATATAAGAAACATATAAGCTAACTTAAGAATTGGGAATCAGAGGGATAGTAAGTGGTCTCTGGGATGCACAACCTGTTGTCGGTTGTATATTAATAAAATCTGAGAAACGCCATCCATTCCTATTAAATCCAATGCAGGCATGTCTATGTCATGGCCCCTGGGTTACGTTAAGTTCTGCAAGAATGCAAAGAGTATCTGACGCTATAATTGAGTCTGGACAACTAAGAGAAATAACCCCGACAGAGAAACATCGGCACACTAGGATAGCTGGCGGCAAAGCAATGAACAAAACATATTCGACGGAAACTACCCCAGGTGGCAGCCCGTGTAATACGGAAAATCTACCCTCTGCGGAGGTCTGCTCCATGGATTCTGGGAGGGGGGACATTCATTGCTAGCGAGAGGGAAGGTAAATAAGCAAGAAACAGAACAAATGCCTATTACGATTGCTGAAGAAACAAGGATGAAACAACTAACCCCCAATAAAAGTCCTATTTCCAGCAAAGGAAAAGTCGACAATAACAACAACAACAACAACAATGAACCAACATGCCAAGAGATAAAAATTCACACAAAAAGAAATACAACAAGAGACCACGAAACAGCCTAGAAGAAATAATTAATAAACTACGACATAAGTCAAAACAAATAAAAATAGATTACTGGCTTAATCCTCCTACTACAACATCTAATAGATTTAGTCCATTAAACAATGCAGACGAAGAAAACTTATCTGTAACATCTGAGTCATCCTCAGAAAAAGGAAAAGAGAAACTAATCAAAACCCCACCTATATTCGTAGCAAGTGTTGGTAACATCAACCTATTAAACAAACTCTTGGAAGAAATTGCAAATGAAAATTATAAGGATTATAAGCCATGACGAAGTCAAAATACGAGTTAAAACGCTGAACACAGTAGAAGCGCTAAAAATAAAAAATATTTCACTCTTACCAAAAAAACAGGATCGACCTTATAAGGTAGTACTGAGAACTATATATAGTTCAACCGACATCGTTCTCCTAAGAACATAAATAGAAGAATACGGCCATAGTATCATAAATATATCAAACATACGGCATAAAGTAACCAAAGATCCCCTATGTTCTTTGTTGATATGAATAAATGACATCAACAAGTGCTACTGTTCTCAGATTGTGAGAGACAGAATCGCAGCCAAATGTAAATTCAGAAAAGAATGGCAAAACACTAGGTCTCCAGAGCTTAAAACTAAGCTAAATGAAGCAATTGTTGAAATCAAGACCATGTTAGCAAAAGAGAAGGAAGCTATTGAGAACTATCTCAAAAATTTAAGTGCAACTGAAGCCACTGATTATTCGTTCTGGAAAGCGACCAAAAAACTAAAACAACCGCATATCTCAATATTCTTAATACATACGGCGACAGGAGCTTGGGTTAAAAGCAATCAGGACAAAGCCAAACTTTTCGCTACTTACCTTGAACAGGAGTTTACTTCAAACCACAGAGAAGCATCTCTTGCAGAAGAGGAGGAGATTTATCAATTCTTGAGAAAGAACTATCAAGCTAAATCACCCATTAAGAAATTTAGTATCGCAGAAGTCAAAAAGATCGAGATCTCTCCGGTGCTACCTGTTTTGTGAAACCTCCTGTGCGTGACTCAGGATTTCTTATAGATATTCGTTTCGATATTCCGAAATTAGTCCAAGTCTCAGAATCACTTAATTCTCGCTTTAACCGTTGTGAGTGCAACGTACCGTGAGTGCTACCATCCAGATGACCCGACGACCTGAGTCACGAAACGAGAACCAGGGCGCAGAGATCCGAAAAGGTTTACGTACCAACAATCAAGTACGAGTACGAGTAAGCACCCAGAACCATTTATACTCGTCCAAATTAGCTCCATTTTCTTCGCATATTAATACCTCCCCGTATCATAGTAAATACTCTGCGTGGAGAAGATAGGCTTGAGGCCCTCGCGTTAGTGCATAGAGACCTGCTCGAGGCTAGCGATGACATGCTAGCAGCACAGCTTAGGGCCTTTTCCGAACTCCTATCCCCAGACAGAAATTCCCATCCACCAAGCCCTTCAGACGGGAATACCTCGTCGACAACTCACCGTTCCCTTCTCGCCCCTTCCTATTCGCCAGATCCCAATTATCAACCACCAAGCCCTTCTATACTACCCTGTCGCGACTATACTCCCCCACCGTCCTACTGGACATCACCTCCCGCTTCCCCCCCCCCCCCCNACCCCCTTCCCCCTCATGTTACTTTAACCCACCTTCGCGTTCCTCCACACCAGACCCACGGACCCCAGACCCATCTCCATATCCATACGATTCCTCTACTTCCCTTTCTGAACCACCCACCCCTAACTCCTTACCCTTTTTTTTTTTGACGTAGGGGAAATGCATTACGCTCTCGGAAGCCCGGGGAGGCTTCCGGGGGTATGTGGGACTCCCCTCCTCCCGTAGATGAACGGGAGAAGGTATACCCATTAAAACCCCTGCGTGAGTCCTGCTCTGCGCTATTAAGCAACCCCCTAGTATCACCATCTGGCATTTTTTAGGAGACCGCTCAGCGTCTGCGCAAGAGCGCACCTGCTCGACGAGGGAGAATACGCATGATTCTCCCCCGTATGCTGCTTGATGTACTCCTAACTCCTTACCCTCCCCTTAAAACACTCTCGGCAAACATTCTGCTTGTCACACACACACACCGTCATACACACACACACATATAGAATTGATTTTGTAACCTCGCCGTATATTATCTTGTATTATAACTTTACCGTTCATTTAATATTGTAATTTCACCCGTTTGTCAGACAATAAATGTCGAAATTGTCACCTTAATTTTTCTATTTTATTTAATATTCTTACCATCGCGCATTCACTACCCTTTCCCCAATTATTTCGCTCGCGGTCCCATCCCAGGTAAAGGGTTTCAGTGCCTTGACCTAAAATAGGACCACCCTGCGTACGTCGCGTCAGAATAAAGTGACACTTCTGGTCTCTGAGAGCGCGAGCATGGTATGGTAGACAGCGCACCAGTCTACTATGCTAGAAGTCCCGAGTTCGCTCCCCGGCAAGAACCAAAAAAGAAAAAGAATTTTTCTTACGCTCATAGCTCCTCTTGGTGGCAAACCGCCAAGAGTAATCTCATGCCAAAGAAAAACACCTCTCTCCAACTGCCGTTCGGAACCGACGTAAAACTGTAGATCCCATATGCATGTGTACAACCTGTGTGCGCACCACATGTATATGCAAGAGGGAGAAGTGTCCTATGCTCCAAATAGGAGTTAAAGGAATTAAGTCAAGTCTGGTCTCTGACTTGCACCGCTGGCATGCAGATACGTTTGGGACTCGCGTTTGCGAGTACGGTCGTTGCGTTCTCTTCCAGGACGTAACAAACATGTACTGTTATGTAAACTTTATAACTTATTAAACTTTATTAAATATCATACAGACAGATTGTAAAAGTTCTTGGGATGACAATAAAAAAAAAAACTTAAGAATTAGAAAGATCCATGGACCATTCTTTCAGCTCTAGCATATCAAATAGCAGCGAAAATAGACATCCCAGTTGATTATTGCAAATGCTGCATATGGCAATGGAGCAGTGTAGTATACAGGGTCTGCTACCAAAATCCGGACAAATTTAAATTTGAATTTCCTGTCTCATTTGACTTCGGCGGTAGGTTGTTACTGACGTTCGAGCAAATCAGATGTTTGTAATAAGCGTGCATAACCTCAAAATGTCTGAGCAGATAAGATCGAGTGCGGAGTATAACCGAAGAGCGGCGATAATCGAAGGTCTTCGCGCTGGACGTTCGCAGACCAAAGTATTCGGTTCTACCCGAAATCAACCGTGATGTTGCGGCTAAATATAATAGCTAGGATAAAGTTTCCGGCCTCTGTTCACGTCCTAGGCATCGTCTCCAGTAAGGGTCATGTCATGCCGCCACATTTTTTTCAAAAGAAAGAAACCGTCACAAAAAATGGTTTATTTATGCGTTTTGACGAAGGTAATGAAGCCATTAATAGATATTGTGGCCGCTGGGAAGCTGTACATCTTCCAGCAGGACTGGCGCAAACAAGTCACTTAGTTCAAAACTGGCTGTTGGATAATGTGAACATGTTTTGATCCAAGGAATTCTGGCTTCCGAACAATCCAGATTTGAATCCGTTGGACTACTACGTAGTCACATGTGGAGCGTCATTGAACGAGTGACCAACAAGTCAAGACATTCCAACGTGACATCTCTCCAGGCCGCTGTCGAGACAGCATTCGCCAATATAAACATGGCCAATAAGGACGCTTTGCAAAGACCAGCGTTTCAGGACGAGGATTGAAGCAGTCATCGAAGCAAAAGGGAGTTATATAGAGTAATTTTACTCTAAAAGGATACCATTATTGATGAACAAAAATTTTTTTTGTAATTTTTACATTTTGATAAATAAAATTTTGTTTAGACAAATTGTTTATTTTGTCAGGATTTTGGTGGCGGATTCTGTACATCCATACACGGTGCTTAGTTTTTCACCCATGGAAATTGTGAACGTAGCACAAACATGCACCAAATAAAAACATTATTGGCAGTACTAGAAAGTGGATATAACAAAATAGTTCCAACGTCAAAAATGGATGCAGAGAGCGTATCAAACAGTCATGTAAAACAGTATCAAGAAAAACATCTGCGTGGCTACTCTCAGGTTTCTCTCTAGTCTTAGATAATAGAGAAACGATATTGAAAGGAACCATCGATAAATACGAGAGTGGTTTGATAAATAACTTAGTTCGTCTACTAATAGAGGGCAACAGCGATGTCTATAAATATACTCATAAAGTGTCCTTCCTATTAGTGAATATTTTGTGGTCACAAGTCATTCTGACAGTAATTTGTTGTTTGACAGTTACTTAAACAGTAGTGTTTCGAGTGACAGTAAAAAATGGATAAAATTGGAATTCATGGTGTGATTCAATTCTTTTTTCTGGAAGGGAAAACAACGAAGGAAATTTATGAGAGGATTTCCTCTACATTGGGCGACTCATGCCTTTCTTATGAAACCGTTCGATTTTAGGTAAATGAATTCAAGCGTGGCAGAACAAGCATCGAAGATGCAACATGTCCTGGAATCTCGAAATCAGCTGTGACGCCAGAAATCACCGATAAAGTCCATGATATAGTTTTAACCGACAAACGAGTGCAAGTGCGAGGTGCAGAGACCATAGGCATCTCAATTGAACAAGTTTACTTCAATTTTGCATAATAAATTGCACATGAAAAAACTTAGCGCAAGATGGGGTATCGCATTTGCTCATATCAGAGCAAAAATGAATTCGCATGCGAATATCAGCCGAATGTTTGCAAGTGTATAAAAAGAATCCAGCGGATTTTTTACGGCGTTTTGTAACCATGAACGAAACTTGAATTCACCACTATTTTCCAGAAACGAAACAGCAGTCGAAACAGTGGACCGCACGAGGTGAACCGGCTCCGAAAAGACGAAATGCGTTCCATTCGATGGAAAGGTGATGGCGTCCGTTTTTTGGGATACGAAAGGAATTCTCTTGATTGACTACCTCGAGAAGAGGAAAATTATTACTAGAGAATATTATGTATCACTTTTGGACTTATTAAGGGGGAAGTCTACTGCGACAAGGGAAAAAACAGGCCGATTTTCCGGATTTTTTTTCTAACAAAATATGACTCATACATTAAATTAAATTAAACCGTCATCTTTATTATATATTCAAGTATTTGTAAAAAAAATTTCCTGTCGAAATATTCAAAATTGCCGTCGTGGCACTCCTTCAAGCGCAGGTCCGTTTTTTTAGGTGCCCAAACGGTGTACATGAAATCTCACATCTAGGTGATCTGAAACAAAAAACAAAATATGGTTATCATCTACATAGTATTGACTCTCGTCTGACAGAGGATTTTGTCGATAAAAAATTTTGGCGCCGAAAAAAAATGTTTGAAATTTTTTTCTATTTTTTTGCCCAAATTTGATGTTATTATTGTTTATAACAATTACACAAAAAACAATATCAAAAAAATGCTCCGCCAGACGAAAGACACTATTCCAGAGAATATGTGATTAAAATTTCAAATCGATTCATTCATTAAAACTCGAGATATCGTGTACACCGTATTGAAAAACTTAGTTTCGAGAAAAACGCGTTTAAAGTTTCGGCATTAGTTTTTTCAATGAAAAAATCATTTTTAAGCTTCTTACCATTAATCGCCCATTCCTGCTTCATATAGTACATCTTCTTCTTCAAGGAAATCCTCTTCGAGTGCCGATCGCGCCGTTCTTCTTTCGATTCTCCCTTCTTTTGAAGCGTCGAACGACCGTTCGTTTGCTTGTGATATTCTGCGCTCGTCGGTGTTGCATAAATTGAAGGCGTTTGGTCCAATTTTGATGTTCATTACGTCCATCATTTTGAGGATACTGGAGTAGCCTTCATTGAAAATGCTCGAGGTTCACAATTACTGCATTTAACGACTAAGTTGAATCCAAGTCCACGGATACTACTTTCCGAAAAAGTCACATTTCTACCGCACGTTTTGCACATGATCATTTCACTCAGCGTTTGAAATAAGAATAAAAATTCAATCAAACGGTATCCATAGCCATTATTAATTTCCACTTCCACCGATTTCGTTCTTAATTTTTTCGCGGAAGAACTTGTCGATTCCGTTTCATTCTCCATCGTATGGCGATTTGGTGGCGGCGGTCTTTTCCTACGTCGTGAAGGTCGTCCGGGAGTTTCGCGTGAACCCTTTCGGTCGAAAGAAGCAGGCTTCATTTTGATAAAAGTATAAAAACTATACGTTAGCCACGCGGGAAACGCCGAAACGATCACAGCTGTTCGACACACGCCCTTAAAATTACGCACTATCGGCGTCCTTACTGTTGAAATCGCTTCTGACTATAAAATATACCTATTGACATCTGTTGATCGACTTCGAGTATTAGAAATATTAGAAATTGAATTGCAAGTTACTACGCTGTACCCGCCAAACAGATAGAAATTTGCCACAGGTACGCGTTTCGAAGCACTTCGGTAAAAGATCGAAATTTCAATGAAGAAAAATTTAGCCGGCTAGAACACCTAATGTACCTTATTTTAGAGGGTTCAAAGTATTTTTTAAGCCAATAAACAAAAAATTGATTTTCTGAAAATTTTACAGTAGACTTCCCCCTTAAAGGCAGTGATCGCGAATAGAGCGCGAGCATGGTATGGTAGATAGCGCACTAGTCTATGCTAGAGATCCCGGGTTCGCTCCACGGCATAAAACCAGAAAATTTTTACACGCTTGTAGCTCCTCTTCGGTGGCCTGGTAAACCACCAAAGAGTAATCTTTTGCCAAGAAAAACTTCTCTCCAACTTTGCCGTTCGGAACCGGCGTTAAACTGTAGGTCCCATATGCATGTATACGATCTGTGTGCGCACCATACTAGCTTCCGTAGGGCTAATAACCCACGTGGAGCGAAAAGCATCTATTCAGAGACAAATGAAATACCCCTACGCTTAGCGGCACAAAGGGGAAGAAGAAGAAGAAGATCGCGAAGAAACGTCCAGGGATCACCAAAAAACAGGTGTTGTTCCATCATGACAACGTATCGGCACATTTAAACCGTCTCGTTGAGTAAAAATTGACCTAACTGCGATTTGAATTGTTTCCGCATCCAATTTATTCATTTGATCTAGCTCCCTCGGATTACCATCTATTCCCGAAATTCAAGATTTTTTTGACTAGACAAAAATTTTGGTCAAATGAAGATCATACAGCAGGTAAACAAGTATTTTGAAGGCCTCGAAAAAACCTAGAGAGCGAGCGTGACATAGCAGGTAGCGCATTGGTTTACTATGCCAGCAGTCTCGGGTTCGATCCCGGCAGAAGCCAAAATGTTTATGCTCACCTCTCCTCTCGGAAAGCAATGGCAAACTACCGAGAGTATCCTTTTCTAGTATAACCTTTCTAAAAACGTTGCCGTTCGAAACCAGCGTTAAACTGTAGGTCCCATATGCTTGTATATAATCAACGTGCGCACCACAAGCATATGAGAGAGGTCGATTACGCCTGGACACAAGTATGACACTAAAAAGAAGAAGAAGAAACCTACTTTCGCGAAGGAATCGCGAATCTAGAGAAACGTTGAAGCAAGTGCTTTGAATTTCGAGGTGACTATTTCGAAAAATAAACTACGTTACAAAATTCAAATTGTTATCTTTAATATGAAACCAAGTTACTTATCAAACCACTCTCGTAGTACTGGACGGAGCATGCGGCAAAATTTTTTAAATCTTTCGTATTGAGAGACTTGGAAAGAGAAAGCTAGATGAGTAGACACGAATCTCTCTTCCTACTCTCTGTTCAATTTGAATTTTGAATTTTGTCTAAAAAGAAGGGGAACAATAAGTATAATATTCTTAAAAGTTGAGAACATTCTTAACGTCACTATATACAAGTGATATGATATACGTTATATACTATATACAACGACATGATATACAATATATAAACATTTATATATACTCTGACCCTATTGGCTCTATAAACATTTATATATTTCAACATTTCCTTCTTCCTTATATCCTTATATTCTTGTATCCTATTTGTCAACTAACTTTTCTGCCAATTCCAATATATGGCCGTGAGTATCCAAACTATGTTTCACACGTCATTTTATACTAATCTGATTTCCTTTTTATAATCCATAAACCAGCTTCCGAGAGCAGCTAACCTGCTTGGACGTCTCTTATGTCTTTTTAGCTGTACTATTGAAATTAATATATTTTGTCTCGTTTAACTTAATGCACCAGTTCAGCAGTGCAGTTAAAAAGAACAGACCACTTTTTAAGATCGTACATGAGTACTATTATAAAATGTTAAACATAAATTTATAAAAAACCGCGACTATCACTCGAATGATGATATGTTTAACGAATTATTAATGACAGTAATTTTTATACCAAGTATACTTGTAAAATCCGGAAAGCAGATTCGTGCAACATTTCGTGAGAACTTATTAACGATAAAGCAGACTTTTAACCTTTTGCACTCCGAATCATTCTGGACGTTAGCTACCAGCTATTCAACGCCACTTTGTCGCAGAAACGTGCATTTACGAACTCTCATATTATATAGTATAGTTTTGGAACTAAGTAACGTATTATAATGATATTGGACTTATATGAATTGGTAGACATCGAGAAATATATATTTGCAAAAAAAATCAATATTTTATTTTTTATAATTTTGTACAGTATGATAAACTTTGAAGCACTCCACAATATGCATTGCAAGCTGATTTGTGCACGTTTGACAATAATAAGTAGTTTGACGTCTTCCACCAGGTGTTTTCCTGTCAGAACAAACAATACAGTCCCGTTTTCTTTCTCCCACATCGGGAATATGTAGTTTATAATTTAGTCTATTGTCCGCCGAAGATGTGGATGGACGTGTTTTTTATATATCTTAGTAGTTTTACCATATTTTGATTTGATTTCTTGTGCCATTTCAAGAGAAAACTTCAGGGAAACATGCATTTCTCAAAAAGTTGTGCTGGAATAAGTTGATTCCCCGTAATCACTAATAAACTTTAATGTCCCCTCAGAGGGGACATCCGAGTGATATGCTAGTAGTGATATTACGATGTCCCCTGAGAAGGGACAACGGAGTGCAAAGGGTTAATAGGTTTCGATTTAACCAGTGGCTGATAAGGCATAATACATAAAATTAAAGTCACTTTATCACATTAAGAACATACTCGTAAGAACTACAAAAGGTAGTTATATATCACAGGATTGTTACGTATATGAATCGTTGTCGATGAACATATGATCGCTATGTACGTACGATTCATGATCTGTCTACGAGTGATTTCTCTTTTATTAAACGAGTGATCCCTTATAGGGTTTGCCAGACTTACAATGAACTCAACGTTTTTCCGGAGCAATGGCATTCATGGCAAGTGGAGCTTGTTAGTCAGTACTCGGCCAGCATTGGTCAATGATTGGCCATTGAAAAGTCTAGCGTTAACGCTAACGAGCGCCGACGCTTGGCCAACGTATTGCGACCAATTATCAACCATAATTCTGTCATTAGTGTGAAGTTACTTTCGTAGGAGGCCACGTTTTTTTTCCTCAGCTATTAAATTATACACAACTAACCATCTATTCCAACTTTCCAGTTTTAGCAACAACAAGAAAGCAGGCGATGGAAAAATCCAGTAGCGCCTGCGAGACATTCGCAGGA